TGCGTCAGACTTTATAAAAAAAAGGCACTACGAGATCATGTGAGATAGAACGCAGTGCTACGAGACTTGTCAGTGCAAGCTTTGCTCAGACTCAGGATAGACGTGTTTTTTCGTTGCTCGGTCAAATTGGTCGAGTACATGCCAAGTTATTGAAGTGTTGTAATACAACTTTATCATTTATCCCACTGGAAATAGAATTAGATTAATTTTCAAGATTTTATGTTTGACGAGATGTCGGTAGCTACGGAAGTGGAAATTCCTTTCACCGAGCATACTACGGAAGCCGTAGCAAGTCCACGAAGTGTGAAGAAAATTTTGAACAAAAAGGAATCACAGGTAAAGTCGAGAACCAAAGGCGATGTCAAACAAAATAAAAACTCTGGTTCGAAAGTTGTGGATAAGGTTAGTGCTCGTGCCAGCGCTACGACCACTAAAGCTGAGTTTTTGGACAATGAACAAGGAGTAGTTCGAAATTCTACAACGTCGACACTGTCGACAGAATCTACTACTAGTGATAAACTTAGTGCAGATTGTAAAAAATTCTCTAATATGAAACCTGAGGAGATGCCAACATTTGCGCGAAAGGAACGATTGGGTTTCGGATGCCTTAAGCACGGTCATCAAAGAGTAATGTGTTGGAAGAAATTGATCTGTACTCAATGCAATGGGGAACATCCCACTGTTCTACATGACAAGTTTTCCTACACAGAGGAATGTCCAAGTAAATATCCAGTGTTAGATGAACCTTCAAACTCGGAAACAAAGGTCAAGGCTTGCAGTGTAATGGAGACTGGAGAACACCAAATATGCACTATGCCTATACTTCAATGCAAATAGGTGTGGGACTGAGACAATAAAGACATACGCTTTTCATGATCCAGGGAGTAGTGGTTTTTTTATTACTTATAACTTTTTATATCAATTAAGACTTGAAGGTAACAAATTTACCATTGATACAATGGGAAGCAGTAAGTCTGTTACATCCAAAATGGTACATGGTTTGCAGGCCTATAGCATCAACCTTGATGATTTAATTAAGCTTCCCGTGTGTTATTCAACTGACAAGATCCCAGTCGGTAAAGGCCATATTTCAACGACAGATGACGTTTCTATGTATTACCACCTAAGCGACATTGACATTCCAGAACTGGCTGGATTTCGAGGTTGCATTACTTATAGGAAATAACGTCCCAGAAGCCTTTGCTCCTAAAGCTATTAGAACTGGTCCACGGGGAACACTCCATGCGTCTAAAACGGTCCTTGGGTGGATATTGTGGAACGTTACGAAAGAGACTAACTGCTCAGTCAATAGTAGAATCGTTGTTAATCAGGTATTGGTTAACTCGATAATGGAAATGGTGAGGTTGAACGAACTTGAGAAGATAATTAAAAAGGCGATGAATATTGACTTTACTGAGCGTGCTATTGACGACCGTAAAGAAAACTCTATCTTAGACGAAACTTTCCTTAAGAAGGCGAAGAATTCTGTGAAAATGCTGGAAAATGGACATTATGAGATCGAACTTCCTTTCAAGTCGGATAACATTTTTAATGCCAAGGAACTTAAATATGGCCCGCAATAGATTAAATAGTCTTCGGAGAAAAATGGATCGTTGGTGTTTTTCTTAGATTTAGACAAAAAAATATTGCTCTATCTGCTGATATACAAGGAATTTTCCATCAAAGTAAGGTTCGTGAACAGGATCAAGAATCACTAAGATTCCTAGCAATAGGCAATTTGTAAGCACATTTTTATGGTTACTGACTCCCCATGTATTGCAACAACTGCCCTTAGAAAAACAGCTTCGGACAACAGTAATCTCTACGATAAATTGACTATAGAAACTGTAGAAAAAGGTTTCTATGTTGACGATCTGTTGACGCCTGTGCCAACAGTAGACATAGCTATAGAATTAGGGCACAATATGTGACTTATGTGAAAAGGGTGATTTTTTAACCTAATGAAATTTAACAGTGACAGCAAAGAAGTTCTGTCGACATTTCCTGTAGAAAAATTAGCAGAAAAAAACATTGATTTAGACTTTGATCAATTATCTAAAACAGAAGCTTTAGGGGTTCAGTGGAATGCTGAAAATGTTTGATGTTGTTAACCTGCGTTAACCTAACACAATGAGTGGGGTTCTATCCACAAGGTGTAGTGTGTTTGACCCACCTTGGATAATTGCGCCAGTACTTCTACAGGAAAAATTATTAATGCAGGAACTGTGGAGAAACCAGTGGAAGTAGGACAAACCATTAGAAGGACAACTATTGGACAGATGGTTAAAGTGGATAATTAAATCATTTTTTTTAGAAAGTTCGGAATTTGCGTATGGATCTGTATCATTTCTACGTATACTATATAATATGGAGAGATAGAATGCAGATTTAGAAAGTTCGGATTTTGCGTATGGATCTGTATCATTTCTACGTATACAATATGACAATGGAGAAATAGAATGCAGATTTATTATTGGAAAATCGTGTAACGCATCTTTAAAAATTGTTAGTTTGCCACAGAATATATGGCTCCTTGGACGTATTGAAAATGTTTTTGAAGAACTCGATGGACTTGTCAGGTCAGCAGAAGTGAAAACGAAAAATGTCATATTTAAGAGACCAATAACAATATTGTGGGTTTTTTTTTAGAAGCTCATAATTCTGATCTGTAGAAAGAGAAATTGTTGAATCAGAATGTTCGAAAGATTCCTTTAAAAGATGTGTTTTAAGAACAACTGGCCGAAGAATTTGGCATTGGTACAGACGATTTTGAAAAGAAAGGCAGAAATTCTTGATGGATACGAAGAAAATATAGATAGCGACAGGAAACGTCGCCGATGGAAGAATTAAACACTCTGATGTGGGCGTGGTTTCAGCGTGTGCGTGGTAAAGATGTGTCGATCTCCGGTTCTATGCTTCGTGAAAAAGCTTTGCTATTCGCCAAAAAACTAAACATTCCGGAATCTGATTTTAAAGCATCGAATGGCTGGCTCTACAGATTTAGAGAAAGACACAACATTTCATTTTTCATGTAGATGACGTTGTGAAAGAATGGACCGATAGGGTACCTGACATTGTCATTGGTTCCGAGGCCAGGATATCTACAGCATGGATGAGACAGGAGTGAATTATCGCGGTCTCCCTGCTAGAACGCTCTCTGTTCGTGGTGAAACTTGTTCCAGTGTCAAGAGATCAAAAGACAGACTTACTGTTATGCTTTGTGTCAACATGTTTGAAAAGCCCTTCATTATTTCTGGTCTGTCGGTTACGTGGAGATCCAATAAAAAAGCATGGATGACAGGATTTTTGTTTAAAAAATGGTTTCAGGATTTTAATCGAAAAATGAAGATAAACAAAAGAAACATTTTGTTATTTATGGACAATGCCCAGGGCCACCTGGATATGAAACTATATAATGTCAAGGTCGTGTTCCTGCCTGCCAACACAATATCTCAAAACTCCAACCACTTGACCTGGGAATTATTAAAAGCTTCAAGTCCTATTACACTAAGAGGTTCATGAGATCTGTGCTAGCCAAAATTGATAATGACGACACGTTAATGTTTTAGATGCCGTTAGATACATGTATGTGGCAGAGTCGGTTAAAGACGTTAGCCGTCAAGTGTTCTAAAGTGTTTTAGGAAATGTGAAATTTTGACAGATCCTGACAACATGGAAAGTGAGGATAAAGATGACAGGCCCCTAAGTGAACTAAGAGATCTAATGTCAATGACACGACTGGGGTTGAAAGAACTCATGACAGTGGAGGAGTATCTTGAGATGGACAGCGACTTACCAGTTTGTGAAGAATTTGATGATGACTGGGAAACACATTTAATAGAAGAGGCCAAGAAATCAAAAGATGGTGAAATTTGTGTAAATGGGACTGATAGCAAGATGATATGAGGACAATGAAAATCAAATTTCACAAATAGAAGCATTCCAATATGTTAATAAACTGAAGAACTTTTGTGCTTCAAAAAATCTAGAAAAACTTTTGGAACAGATGCAAGCATTTGAAACAGATTTAGAGGCCGAGTCAGTGAAGATTAAGTGTAGCAATACCCAGGCAACTCTTCTGAAATATTATAAATAGATCTACTGCTGTAAATGTATATATTATAAAGTACATGTCTATATAATTTACCTAACACTGTTGTCTGTTTTTCTTTGAAATTGCCTCAAGCATGCTCACTCAATAATGAGACCAACTCACTATTGAGACCACATCTAGACAGTCCCACAGATGGTCTTAATAGAGGGATTTCACTGTACTTGGTTAGAAACATTTGTTCGAAAGATTACTTTATATGTATTTGATATAATTGGTTATAAAGATTTGTTAGAAAGAATTATTTTTGATTTGTATTATTTTAAATATTTTTTTTTTATATTATAGTTAGTAGGTGATGAAGCTGTCTTAAGTTATAGATGTTTTACTGTTGAAATGATGTTAAAACTTGAATATTTTTGTGAGATATCAATCTGATTAAAACACAGGACCTATTTCGTTTTTTATAGTTCAAAATTTCGTTTTACTTGACTTCAAAACACTAGGATCTGGAAGAGTTGTTATATAACAGGCGTTCTAGTTAATATGAGGAATTAGCCAATGAAACGGTCTGTTACGGCGAGTTCTTGGCTTCTTTGCACGGAACTGTGAGTAAACCCCTAGAAACGTCAACACTGATTGATTAATTAATGTCTAATGTCATAGGGTCAAAAGCCGCTCGTACGACCCCCTGACACGACCATATAGTACACCTTGTCAGATCTTCATGTAGTGTAGGCCATCAAAAGTATAAATTTTAATCAGATTGGTGAGATATCAAATTTTTGGTGACTTTATGAGATGAAAATATTGTAGTAACTGAACTTACAGCTGTAACCAAAATTAAAATTCGTAGATGTTATTGTATATCAAGTCCATTATTATAGAACGTCTGACAAGATCGGGAGGGTTGTTGACAAGTGTGATTTGTGTGTTTAATGATGATGGACAATACAATTGACTTGAATTCAAAACAGCACAAGGTGCAGCTCGATTTCAAAACTATACAGTCATTCAGTGTTTAACGGTGACAAACTAGGCTAGGATTCACGACACCACAGGATCCAGCTACCTATCATGACTGTACAATCATTGCATGGGATGCACGGCAACACCTCAGTGACAAGATTTCACAATAAATGCACCTCAACACCACAATGGCAAGATTCCACTGTCATTGCACAGGATGCATCTCGACACCACAATGGCAAGATTCCACAATCATTGCACCTCGACACCGTGATGACAAGATTCCACAATTAATGCACCATTATTTATTATTATGCACCTCGACACCACAATGACAACATTCCACAATCATTGCATGTGATGCAATGACAACATTCCACAATTAATGCACCTCAACACAACAATGACAAGATTACACAATCATTGCACGGGATGCACCCCGACACCACAATGAGAAGATTCCGTCATCATTTATCTATTAATTCTGTTCAGCAATCTCTTGTGATTGTTGTATTAAACATTGTGTCATGAATCTTTCTTCAACTTTAATAATTCATTATTTTATTTTCTCCAACAATAAACTTTATATTCACACACAATCCATTAATTCTGAATTCGTATCATTTTCATCATCTTCCTCCATGCCCTCCCCATCCCCAGTATCATCACCCTGTTCCTCGCCCTCCCCGTCATCTTCTGATGCGGCCTCTAATAACTGTATTTCTCTCATCTTAGCGACCACGTGTCTTGATCGTCTTGTACCTGTTACAATAAAACAATAGATAGTTTTAAATAAATTTCAATCTGATTAAAATACAGATCCTATTTCGTTTCGTTTTTTATAGTTCAAAATTTTGTTTCATCTGTCTTGACTGTACTACACCAGGATATGGAAGAGTTGTTATATATCCTGCGTTTTGGATAACGTGAGGGATTATCCAATGACCATATTGAAGTTTAACTAGTTTCAATATTGAGAACACAATAATAACATCACTACCTGTATTTAAAACAGATCGTGTGACAATACTGATGTTAAACTAATTTCAGTATTGAGAGCACTGTAATAACATCACTATATAAAACAGATCATGTGACTATAGTTGAAACGTTGCTCGATAATAAGCAGTAAATGTATTCCATTTCCAGTTCACTTAATAAATGACATTGAAACAATCTACTAAACCGTTAAAGGAGGCGAGTCTTTAACTCAATATCATGCACAGTCTTCGTCATTGAAAACACAACTTATTGGTCAATTTAAATCAACACAAAATGAAAATTTTAAAATTGGCACATGAATCGCATGCCAGAATGCTTTCAAGTGCCATTTGTAATGAAGCGACTTGATGAACGAGGCTAAACATACTCCACAGGAGAATACTACCGATGGAGACTGGAATAACCAGACCCCAAAGACTGCCATTCAATTTGGACTCTTCATGTATTTCACTGAACATTAACTGATTAGAAATTACACTAAAAACAGAAACGATTGAATGTAAATCAGTTTAAATACATGTACATTCATATTACATATTATATGTGTTGCGACCCATTTTTGTCCTTTTGTAGGTGCCAAAGACTAGGGATTTAGCCACTTTAACAAAAAAATATATCCCATCTAGTAGTAGAGGAAAGGATGGGTTACAGATTCTCTACATGTTGGTATAACTTACCATCAGGTGGTAAAGGAAATGACGTTTTACAGATGATATTTTCTACATGTTGGTATAATATATCTCTAGCTAATTCATAGAAATCTGGTATACACCATCCCTCCTTCTCAGTACAAACTGTTTCCTACAAACATAATCTCATTATAAATAATCAAACCTTATTGCTACAAACAATAAACACAAAGACATTCATTGTTTGGTCAGTCAATCGTGATGAGGATAATAGACAATTTAGATTACCAGTACCTTCAAATATCTAGGTGGCAGGGATGTAATCTGTCTATGTTGTGCGATTGTGATTGTGTTCATGTATCTGGATCTGTTTGTGATTGTGATTGTGTTTGTGTATCTGGATCTGTTGTGTGATTGTGTTTGTGTATCTGGATCTTTTGAGAGATTGTGTTTGTGTATATGGATCTTTTGAGTGATTGTGTATCTGGATCTGGGGTGTGATTGTATTGCTATATCTCAGATTGTTTGCCACAATCCTATTTGACTTAAAGGATCATCACAATTTCTAACAAGAAAATATATGGATTGTTTATTTATTTGATGGTAAAACATTGATTGGTGTCATGGATATGCTTACAATTTATCCAACACCTAGTACTACTACTTACTACTTACTGTAGTCACTCAATTTTGTTCTTCTCCTTCTATTAATGTTAACGTTCGCTTCCACCGATGGTGATATCGCAGTTGTCTCATTTTTTTATGCTTAGCTCACATGCACGGGTATTTCCCAGAGTAAACGCACAAGGTTGAGATGGCACCCCTATCTCCAACCCACGTACACTCAGACCAGGGATCAAAAGCATGACAGCAAGCCAGAGGTGACCGGCCAGCTGGAGTTCGAAGTGCAACACTCTAGACCACTAGACCATCCCAGTCAAATTCATCTGCTGGGCTGGGTATTTAGGGTTAATTTAACAAGGTGAGTTTGAACTTACTTGATTATTATTTTGATTAAGGAGGGTTTGAACTTTCTCATCTTCTATATCACACATCTGATAAAACATTTGACGATATGGTGGTAAAACATCGGGACGGAATCTGTATGTACTTTCCTATAAATAAATATATATTACTTTAATATTTGAACACAAGAATGATTTCATCTTAAAATCAATCAATAAAACTTAATTTTACTCAAACTGATACAGTATAAACAACAGTACGATCAAAAATTATTTCTTGATCGAAGGTTCAAAGAGGTTTATATTCCTTGAACAAATTCCTGGAGAACATGTACACATGTGGTGTTTTTAACTGTCTGATAGGTTTAACACAATAATTTAAATGAGCTAATTCTTTAATCTTTGGCACCTAGAAATAGACACAAATGGGTTGCACTGCATATAATAATGTAATATGGATGTATATAAACTGATTTACATTCAATTGTTTCTATTTTTACTGTAATTTCTAATCTGCGAAATATACGACGAATCCAAATTGAGTGGCATTTTTGGCGCCTGGTTACTCCAGTTTACATAGATAGTTTTCTCCCCTGGAATATGTTTAGCCTCGTTCACCGAGTCACATCATTACAAATCGCGTTCAAAAGCATCCTGGCTGCGAACCCTGTGCTCACTGTGTCTTAAATAATGGATATCAGAATCCCATCTTTTCACGGTAAGATAAGAACATCAATGTTGATTTAAGTTGATACATAAGTTGTGACTGCAATGTCGATGACTGTGGATAGTATAGAGTTAAAGACTTGGCTACTTTAAATTAAATATGTTCATTGATATGAGGCCAATGAAGAGAGGAAAAGACAGGCAATATGTGGTCACAAACTTTTTTTCGTAAAACAATCCTTGTTGCTGAATTTTGTAACCTTTGAGGCCGTTTTAGCTGTTATTTGGTTCTTTCAGATAACGGACAATTACAGAAGTCAGAATAAGACACCATACAAGAGTTGCCGCAGCCAGACAGGCAAAAAAGCACCTTTAACTGACAATGTCAGACACAGATTCAGGCTTTGTCTCGCACATTTTCTCTGGTGCCTGTCATTATGTCTAGCAGATATTTATGATTTTTTTCTGTTTTTATTAATTTTTTTTATTTACATGTCTATCACAAAACTAAAAATGTCAGGTAAATATAAGCGAAATGAAATGGGGTTTAATGCCTACTGTTCAGCTCCGACTGGGCTAATGAAGGCAGACATATGCCATACAGTGTGCTATGAGGGACATTTTGCCTGGACAGCAGCGCTACAGCCAAGGGATCTTTTATGTCCAAGCCAATGTATATATGAGACTTCGTTTTTTTTTTTTTTGTCCCACCCAAACGGTTATACGCTGTCTCTTGCCAGGCTCTATGTACTGCACCACTGACAAGGAGAAAACAAGCCGGAAAATCATGATGAACTTTCTTGGCCAACGCAGGGATCATACATGGGACCACCAGGTTATTGAGCCAACATCTTACTCACTGATCCACCATACGAATAAAATCATTATATCAAGGATGGGTGCAGCATTAAATGAACCCATACTTTCCAATGCTGTATTTTACAACCAAAATAAAATATTCTAATTACAATTCAACTCACAAGAAAAGCTGATGGTTCTTTTTTCTCGACCTCACTACCATCAAGATGTGCGGTTGATATCTGAGCTATGGTAGATCGTGGTTTATTAACAGTTGTGGGTAGAGAATAGCTATAACTACTTCGTTTATGACCAATAGGCATTCTATCACCAGCTCCCCCTGTACAGTAGAAATAATATCACTTAATTACAGGGAACAGTCAATAATTAATCTTTAAAATCTTAACCAGCCGCTGCCAGGCAGGATACGCCCACATTTTCCAGAGATGGATAGAGAACAAGCTAAGAAGAAAGTGATTTTTTCTACAATCAAGGGCCATAATTCAGGAAATTACAATTCGATATGTGCGAATATCAAAAGGAACCAAGATCTTTGGGTTATAAACTTACATTTCAAGTTTCAACAAAATCGGATAAAAATTGTGACCTCTATAGGGTCCACAACCTTGATATACCATATTTTTAAGCTATTTGAGATGAACGGCGGCCATTTTGTCTGTCAATTTTGGGCCGATTTTCACGAAATTCAAGCTCAGTCGTCCTTAGGGTGTAACGGTGATATAATAATACAGTTTTTTAAATCGGATAAAAGTTTTGACCTCTATAGGGTCCACAAGCTAAAAACATGATTTTTCGTACAATCAGGGGCCATAATTCAGGCAGTTACGATCCGATATGCGCGAATATCGAAAGAAACTGAGATCTTTGGGTTATAAACTTACATTTCAAGTTTCAACAAAATCGGATAAAAATTGTGACCTCAATAGGGTCCACAAGCTAAAAACATGATTTTTCGTACAAACAGGGGCCATAATCCATGAAGTTTCGATCCGATACATGCCAATATCGAAAGCAGCCGAGATCTTTTGGAGATAAACCTATATTTCAAGTTTCGTCAAAATCGGATAAGAATTGTGACCTGTAGAGTGTCCACAAACAAATTGTGGACAGACGGACAGGGGCGACGACAATATAAGTCCACATGAAAATGTGGTCGTATAAAAAAAAACACAGCTTATGTTAGGAACATAACAATAGTAAGTGCGAGTGGGTCACACTACAAACAAAACAAAACTGACAAGGCAAACCTGCGAACAAGACAAACTACATTGACATTGCCAGAAAGCCACATCAATACCGTTTGAAAATAAGTATTCTCTACCATTGTTTGAAATTACTACAATAATATAAATACTAACTCTGTTTGCGTCTGAAATCTAACGTCTGGTATTTTTTAGCCGCTGGATCTTTCCGGGGATCGTATCCAAACTTCACCCACAAACTTCTCCACGGACCTGTCGTCATGAAATAGGATACAAGCGGTAAAACAAACTTGAGTCTTGCTAAGTATTTCTGATCTAGATGACATCGTAACCCATTCTTCGACCAGACAGGTCTCTTCTCAAATAACTGAAATACAGTATAATATTACACATCATTTATGACTGGGATTGGGTAAAGAGAGGTTACCAGGCAATGAAACATATGCCAAACATCCTCAAGGGTCATCACATATTGATTATTTTGTAGGTAATGGGAGCACTTATAAGACACTAAAATCTGATCAAGAATGACAATCAATTTAATTGGCTTCTAGTTCTTCCTGATGCTAACTTGTCTCATGAACATAAACATTGTGGATCAATGTCAAATCAATCGAAAAAAAACTTCAGCCCTGAGAGAGTCCACAAGTGTTATAAAAGTGATCAAAAGCAATAACTCGGACAGTAATTATCGGAAATCATTGAAAATTAATATGAATTTTTGTCTCATGAACAATTTGTGTCAATCGGAAAATAAATATTGTCTCTAGACTCTAGAGCATCCACAAGATTTTTAAGTTATCAAGGACCATAACTCTTGCAAAATTATTGGAAATCGTTAAAAATCAATAGGATTCTTTTACGCATGATGAATCTAACAATAAGTTGTAGTTTAAAGTTGTTAATTTAACAATTAGGTTTTTCAACGTTGTTAATTCAATAGAAAAGCATAGTTTAAACTTGTTAATTTAACAATAACATGAAGTTGAAAGTTTTTAATTTAGGAGTAAGGTCTAGTTTAATTTAACTAAAAGGTGTAGTTTAAAGTACCTCTTGTACGATTTGTTTGGCTTCACTGAGGTTTTTTATCTTACTGTGTAAAGCTGTACTAGCTCCTTCCATGGGTCCATTAGGGGTCGGATCATTATAACCTACAAATATGGTAAATATTGTTCTCTTTCTTCGGGCTGAAATAAAACAATCACCAGATGAAATCAAATCAATTAAATGTATGACTATGATACATAAAGGTCGACACAAGGCTTCTAGGAGTGAACAAATTTATGTGCATTAGAAATGACTGGTTAACAGACAATCTTACATCTAACTATTCCTTGATGTAAACTGTCAACGCTGAGAAACAAAATCAGTTAGATGTATATCTCAACATTGACCTACTGTGGACATGAAATGTTAATGAAGCAGTATGTAAGATTTACATAAAGAGCTGACTATAATAGTTCCAAAATAAATAATTCAAAATGAATTTCTTGAAAATTTCATTCAAATTACTTTATTCTGAGTCAAGTTATCACGGTTTGTATTTTTGACAAGATGTGTGCATCGATTGTTTATTATCGTAACCACGGTACTGGTTGTTCAAGACTTAGCCTCTCTTTTCCATTTTTAAATTAAATCATTAAATGGCCAAATCGTTTTTAATCTACTTAAAACTGGACCCATCCGATGGCATCAAGAGTTGATTATGTCTTATCATGTTGTTAAATGTCTAATCAATAATTTATATAACATTTAAGGCCTATTTTATTTTTTTACCCAAATCAAAGAGATGTTGAATAATTTATACCCAGTATTCAAAGTGATTAATTTATAAGAATGATACACTACTATACTACATATACTTTAAATAGGTCATTATCATAATATATGTGTATTTTGTGTTATATTGTGCTTGGTTTGCTGTCAACGCTTGAAGCATGTCTCTAGTGTGATCTAGACATCAGCGCATTATAAGGCTCCTTATTATTAAGATCAAAGAGACCATTTTAACTAACCTGTTCCAATTAAATTATCATCAAGAGGTTCAGTAGGTTTCTCAGAATCTTTGTGGAATTGATTCTGTCGGAACATATATTCCATGGGAACATCCATTCTAGACATAATGACTGGCGGCATGAATAATGGTACTTCACGATATAAATAATCTTGTTGAGGGATAAAGTTTGTTATTTTAAGTTTGTCGAGAATGCTGTATGGAGGACCATCTGCTGGTTGTATTGTTGGTAAATATTGGAAATCTACAAGATCTGGAAATATATATAAATATTAATATTATTAAAACAGTAGGATTAACACACTATCTACTAATGGAGTCCATATAAGACCAGGAGTTTGGTGGCCGAATGGTGTAATGGTTGCGCTTTAGTTCATGGGGCCTGTCATTATGCCAAACAGTGTGGAGCAATCCAATCCCATGTGTTTTCTCCAGGCCCTCCCGTTTCTCCTACAGCTAAAGACCCCTACGAGCAAGCGAATTATTGAAATAAAATTGAACCATATGTTAGTCTCGAAATGACCTAATTTTTATTGAGTTGGTGTTAAACCCCATTTTTCTCTCTCTCTCCATCAAAGACTGGTACACACCAGGAGATTTACTATAACCCTGTTGGTAGCCATGATGTAACTGGCCTAATGATGAATATGTTACTTTTTAAATTTTTCATCTCCCAAGAAACAAATATTCAAGGAATTCTGTTGACATGAAATAATTTATCTGTAATACCACCTCAGTGGAAGCAAACGTCAAATTTGCTGATTTTATACAAATAAAGTGGGGTTGGGTTGTTAAGTGGTTTAACTCATGCACTTTAGATCATTAAGTATGTCAATGAGTAAAGTGGTGTGGTTTGGATCCCAAGCTTGTAAGGGGCAAGGAGTAGGGTCCGCTGCCTAACCTTTTCTTCGGTTCCTCCTGTTTCCCATCTTTTGCTAATGCTAGGAGCAGACGAGCGTATTATTTTGCCTGATCGCGCCGATTAGAATTCGCCAGTGATTTCTTTACAGTCAATCATGAACAGGTACACGTAGCAATCGTTTTGCCCATGTGTGCCATTCTGCGAGTAAATTACAATGATCATGTGACTTGTTCTAAATGGCGAATCACCAAAATCGTAAGATTGCTGTTGTAGCTTGCTATTTATTTGATAAAAATAAAGCACAGAATACTTAGAAGGGTTCGTTAGACAAATTGAAACTTGTGGTACAGGAGTTAGATTCAACGCTTCGGCAGTGGAGGCAGATATTTTGAGACAATGTGACATCAATCATGTCTCCGATTCGCTTATAAAAATGGTTCGCACCCCCACCCCCCACTTAAAAACCCCTGTACTAAGCGAGTAATTGAAATGTAATCATACCATAATACTTATATTAATTCTAACATGTTCAATGGATGTTATCAAAAGAAACATTGTAGCAAATGGATATAACAAAAAAAAAACGTATTTATACAGAATACTGTTGTTTACTTTTAAATTCATAGAAAATATCTGTCATTCCTAAAACTTCAACTTTATACTGGACGTCTTCATCATCAATTCCTTCTTCTCCTCCACCCACTCGTTTTCTTCGTCTTCTCCTGACTTTCATCACCAAACAATCTTTACTGATTCTATTACCATACGCGGGTTTACAGTAATTATCATCGGGACGCCATTTTAATTCCAGTCTCTTTGCTTGGTTATTACATGTCTGGAAAAAATAGGTTGCAGGCAATAAAACATACACTCACAAGCAGCGGAGTCATCTGAGCAATTATGATATATAGAAACTCATAAAATTCTAAAAAGATTGGATCACAATTGAAGCCTGTGTTTACAAGTCTCTGTAACAAAGAGGGATAGGCCTAACCCTAACGCTGTCAGCAATGGAAGTCATTATCAAAAACTGTTGAAAATCATAAAGTTGAATTTAGCTTCAAGAGCAAAATACCCCAAGTCTTACTGCTCATCGGCCTGATTTATAATCATTAAGTTGGTCAGACATAGTTATAAAGACTCAATTTCACACGAAACCTGTACAAGCTTCACTGACATAAATCCAATCTGATTAAAACACAGATCCTATTTCATTTCGTTTTTTATTGTTCAAAATTTCGTTTTATTTGTCTGTACTACACTAGGAATAGGATCGGGAAGGGATTTTATATAACTGTGTTCTAGATGGCATGAGGCATTAGCCAATGAAACCATCTGTTACAGCGACTTCTTGACGTGCGATGCACGGAAATGCACGGAACTGTGGGCCAGTCTGCAGAGTAGGCTATTATTTTGAATTTCAGTGGTACTTTTTTGAAATTACACACCAGACAGAAATAGCATAATTTATCACTCGTTGATTTATCTCCTTCACGCTTGAAGTGTTAGGTTGCATGCTGGCCAGAATTTAGTAAGGATTTTCATTGCATGCACGAGATCTTGTCGAAATCAGACATACTCTGCAGGCTGGACTAGAAACATCAACCCTGATTGATTAATCAATGTCTGACATCATAGGGTCAAAAGCCGTTTGTACGACCTCTGACGCGACCTTTTACTGCTCAGATCTTCATGTAGTGTAGGCCATCGAAAGTATAAAACAACGAAATGAAATATAGATCAGTATTTTAATTAGATTGCCTATCGCAGGCCATCTTTATGTTTCTGTAATACACTAGGATCAAGAAGGGTTGTAACTTGTGTTCTAGATGACATGAGGGATTAGCCAATGAAACCATCTGTTACGGCAACTTCTTGGTGGGTAAACCATTACAAACGTCAATGCTGATTGATTAATCAATGTCTGACGTCATAGGGTCAAAAGCCGTTTGTACGACCTCTGACGAGACCTTTTACTGCTCAGATCTTCATGTAGTGTAGACCTTCGAAAGTATAAAACAACGAAACGAAATATAGATCAGTATTTTAATCAGATTGACATCAATAACAAACAAGGCCTGATAATATGTGGAAATCTGCAATACCGTTTGATGAGTGATTAATGTAATATCCAAAAAACTCTATTTTCCACAAACTAAATTTGTAATGCAAATAATTATACTGGGTGTCACATTTTGGTCATGATTTAGATGCAATGGATTGATTTCCGGTATAATTTACGGAGATAAATGGATTGACGACCATCATATCTCCCATAGGTAGGCTACATGTTTTTGCAAGTTTTCCTGCGAGAGAAAGAGAGAGAAATGGGGTTCAACGTCCACTCGACACAAACTAGGTCATTTCGGGACTAACATATGGTTTAATCTTATTTACACAATTCGCTTGCGCGTAGGGGTCTTTAGCAGTGGGAGGAAACCGGAGGACCCAGAGAAAACCCACGAGGTTGGACAGGCGACCCTACTCCTTACCACGTACAACCGGGGATTCGAAACCACGCCAGTCGACTCAATGACAGACTTTATGATACAGCGCGCGCACGCTAACCATTCAGCCATCCAACCCCCCTTTTCCTGCGAATTAAATAACTCATATTGCAATTGACACCCAATCTATTTCACAGAGGTATTGCAAAGACTAATAACTCTGTAAAAGATAACTGTTTTATCATGTGATGTCACATCACGCAGCGTCAATCATTGGCTTAATGGCACATGCATTGTTTGTTGTAAGATGCTACTAGTCCAGGCAGAATGGTGCCTTTTACTGCCATACTGGTACTCATTTTACATACTCATTTACACTAAATAGTTAATATTTGTAACCTACATATACATGTACCTGAAACACCTTTATTAAAATAAATGTTCTAGAATTGAATTTGCAAAAGGAAAAAAGTTAATATTTGGGGCTCATTAAGTCGAATCAATGTAATTCCTATCTGTAACAGACTGAGACTGGTGATTATTCACTGCTGATCAGATCAGTCAGTGTGAATGTGATGATTGCCGCCAAGTTTTACTCAGTAAGACACCACAACTTGGAGCAATTGCAAATTTGGTTAGACGTCTCCCTTATGTTGGCCTTTGCTACTATTCATAAACAACATACCTTTGCTAGTGATTTTAACCCTCCAACTGTTTCAAAAGCCTTTTCGACATTTTCAACCACGGCCGGGTGATGAATGCAAACAAATTTCTTAAATTTGTTAAAATCTACCGTGATGGCCTTGTCACCAGGCATCCATTTTCCTCCAGACTCTTCTGCATTTTCCGTGGCCATTATTTCTTAGTAAAGTAGTGAATATGAATTGAAAAAATTGCGATAAATATTAAAATATTGGATTGTTTTATGTCAAATTTGTGGAAAACGCCGCCATGTTTAATTTCGAATTGTCTCCCTTGTGTAACTTCGGGTGACGCAATTTGAAAATTAACTTTCAGTCTATTTCGGTGAGTTTTAATTTAGATTTTAATTATTATGTCTACAAAATTTAGAAATATGTGTATCAATAACTGTATTAGATTTCTTGCGGTGTTTTACCATAATGTCCATGGTTTAACATAATATAAATTCATCTATTTTAACACCCGAAGTTAGCAAGGTCAACGTGTGCTTAAATGGAGTTACTTCCCCTACAATGTACATGATCTCTTTTCTAGTCAAAACAATTTTTCCAACAACAAATAAAATTTAAGTTTAACGTCCTCCTTTTCTGCTCCTTCTTGGCTAATGAAGACATTCATACGCCATGCAATTTTCTGTATGGGGAATTTTCCCTAGCCTCTTATTTCGAATTCCAACTGCCAAGGATTCTTTTACGTGTATGCCAACCTGTAGGCCTAGAGAGTAGACTACACCAGTTTTTTGCCCCATCCGAATCACAAAAACCTGTTCCTTGCCAGGCCCGTGCCCTGCACCATTGACAAGGTAAATCACCAAGAACTTTATCTGCCAACACTGGGATCAAACCCAGGACCAACAGGAATCGAACCAGCAACTTAATAGGCCTGCCCACCGAACCACTGTGGCTCCCCTTTCTCAAACACAAATTTTAATGATCAATGAGACAAAAAAAAAAAAAAAAAAAAAAAAATAGCGGAATAAGAAACAAAAAGAATGACACACCATTTGTATTATATTTTATTCAGATTTTTTCGACAATAAATTACAGCAAACAATAGCAATAAAAATATACCTTCATTGTACAACAACAGATCATGCCATGTAGAAAAACATGGACATTTAATCTTTATAAAACAATCAACAGTATAATACTTACAATACTCCAATAATAGACAAACTTTTATTACAACAAGGGTGAAAAGAATTTCTGGGCATACAAAGTACAGTAGGGCTTACCGGTAGCATATTTTTGACATCATTTCCAGAACAGTTTGAGCATGGACCCTAAAATTCAGGTCCATGTTTGAGAGGAACCCGTCGTAAAAAAATTTTAAAGTCCTCATTTCTATCCACATGTTTATAATATTATATACATAAAAATATATCATACTCTTTCACTCTTTATTAAAAACCTGCCAAATTTTCCTTTTCCTCTTAGTTTTAAAAGATGGACATTGTCCCAAGGCTTTCAGCCTCTCTGTGCTAAGTTTTCCTTGCAGAATAAATCCACTTTCCCCATTAAAAATAATCCCCAACCGCTGAATCACGCTCAATAATTTGTTCTCATAAAATAAATTAATGCATGAATGAATTTATTCGAACTTTTATCTATTATTAACTAACATAAAATCCAAATTTTCAATCAAAATATCACTTAATCACTATCAACAACCCTACAATCAAATTGTAAATGAACTGATGTTTAACATCTTACTTTTATGCACCGACTGGACTAACAATGACTGGTAATCATAGGCTATTGTAAATTAGATAATTCAATAATCCCCGCTCAACAGAAGTACATGTAGACTTTATGTTCTAGTTCTAGTTTAATAATAACATTTCAAGTCTCATGACCCATTTTCACATGATCAAATTACTTCAGATCTAAGATCTTCACATCCCTGAAGTATAATATTTTTTATAGACATTAATATATGGGGGGTGGGGGGAGGAAAACATACAGTTTATATATATATATAATACATTAAATAGATAATTAGATGAATTTACGGAAAACATTTTTATTCCAAGAGAGAGAGAGAGAGAAATGAGGTTTAACCTCCACTTGACACAAACTACTTTATTTCGGGACTAAAAAATGGTTCAATTTTATTTCAATAATTCGCTTGCGCGTAGGGGTCTTTAGAAGTGGGAGGAAACCAGAGGACCTAGAAAATTCCCACAAGGTTGTCACGTACAAGCAGGGAATCGAAACCACGCCAGTTGACTCAATGATAGACCTTATGATGCAACACGCAGACGCTAACAATTCGTCCATCCAACCCCCCTGCCATGAGTTAAAAGTTTATACTAAGATTATGACTCTCAACTAATGAAATGACTGTATTCTTAAAATATTTTTAAAAGTTTTTGTGAATTAGGTTCCTGGGTCCAACCAAATTTAATTTCAGAACTGTTTTTATATAGTTTATGATAAATTAAGTTATGTTTACAACTCCAGGTAATTTCTTGGTGAATTCTATTCATATCCCACAATTTAGACAATTCAAAATACAAAACATATATTATTAGTAAATGAGTTATTAAATTAAATAATATTACCAGATTAGGGACAGTCACAATATTTCAACACTTGTTTCCAAATGAATAACCAATAACTCATCAACCCAGTTTCATGGGTTATGGAATGTGATGGTGCCTTACAGTATTCAATTAAATAGTTACACCAGATTCTTGTTAATAATACCATATTTTAAGATTTAGTTAATACAGGATTATGAGATTAGACCATTCAATGTTCTACCCCGATTCTTATATCATTTTGTATATGTCTAATCCTTTATGGATCAATAGATTAATAACCCATCTATATATATATACAGTATATATTTGTGACTGCAGTTTATCTGTTTCGGGTTGGTGCCATGGCAGGTACTCTAGAGTAATACTACTTCTGGTTCAATGTTATACTACTTTCATTATCAGAAATATACCACTTCCTGTTTCTGAGATATACCACTTCCTGTTTCTGAGATATACCACTTCCAGTTCAATGTTTCTGAGATATACTACTTTCGGTTTCAGGGCGCCACCTGGGCATTGCCTGGTAACAGCTAGAGTAACATAATTATTCCTTAAACAACCAGCGGCTGCCAGGCAGGATACGCCCACATTTTCGAGAGATGGATAGAGAACAAGCTAACAAGAAAGTGATTTTTCCTACTATCAAGGGCCATAATTCAGGAAATTACAATTCAATATGCGCGAATATCGAAAGAAACCGAGATCTTTGGGTTATAAACTTACATTTCAATTTTCAACAAAATCGGATAAAAATTGTGACCTCTATAGGGTCCACAACCTTGATATACCATATTTTAACGCTATTTGAGAACGAAAGGCGGCCATTTTGTCTGTCAATTTTGGGCAGATTTTCACAAAATTCGAACTCAACCTTCCTTAGGGTGTAACGGTGATATAATAATATGTTTTTTTAAATCGGATAAAAATTATGACCTCTATAGGGTCCACAAGCTAAAAACGCGATTTTTCGTACAATCAGGGGCCATAATTCAGGAAGTTACGGTCCGATATGCGCGAATATCGACAGGAAACGAGATCTTTGGGTTATAAACTTACATTTCAAGTTTCAACAAAATCGGATAAAAATTGTGACCTCTATAGGGTCCACAAGCTAAAAACGTGATTTTTCGTACAATCAGGGGCCATAATCCATGAAGTTTCGATCCGATACATGCCAATATTGAAAGCAGCCGAGATCTTTTGGGGATAAACCTATATTTCAAGTTTCGTCAAAACCGGATAAGAATTGTGACCTGTAGAGAGTCCACAAACAATTGTGGACGGACGGACGGACCTCCGGACGAACGGACGGACAGGGGCGACGGCATAATACGTCCACATGAAAATGTGGGCGTATAAAAATTAAAGCGTCCAGCTGCACTGGCATATATACAGCCCATTACATTTATGTTACATGAAATATATGTACAGTATGTATAAGCATAAATACAGCCCTGAATATCTGTTATTAAATATATACAAAACAGCAAAACATAAAACCATATTCATACATCAGGCCTCCTTGCACAAAGCAACCATAAAATAAGAATATACACCGTTTACTACAGTAGTTTGCAGAGATTTGGTGATGACTGGAGCCAGCTCCTTGAAGGTATACTCCTCCAACCCCCGCTAAGACTAAAGTATTCTGTCTAGTACTACGGACTGTGAGAAATATGTCAAAACATATCAAATAATCTCTTTCTTTAAATTAAGTACTACAACTTTTTGAACAAAGTTAATTTCAAATTTCAAAACTTTATTTAATTTCACTCTTTGATTGGATGACTTCCCCCTCCCCCCCCCCCCTCTCTCTGCATGCCACTTTACTAAGATTTCCAATTAACAGGTGTGTATATTAAGTTGCACCGGTGATTTCCAATTAGCAGGTGTGTATTAAGTTCCACCTTTGCTTTTTGCAAAGAGGCCGTGATTAAAGTAAGTTTGTCAATAATATCATAATTACATAACATACATATAATATTTACCAAATATACAAATTATAGATAGTCATATGATCAAATATAGGAATTATACAAAACATAATCATAGACTAAACTCCTTGTCACACACTTAATTGATTTTATTAACAGAAGTGCTGGCATCACTGTAACCTCCTCCATCTTGTAGAATGTGCCTATAGGGTTATAATCCTTTAGATGGACAAGCCTGGTTAATGTTCAACCAATTTGTTGACTTTTGTTGTCTATGTTCAGACTGATTGGGGAGGAGATTAAGTTGATTGGGGAGTAGATCAGGTTGGTAGGAGAGAGGGAGGAGAGGATTACGAGATCAGGCTGGTTGGGGGTGAGGTCATTTCCCTATGGAAAATTTATCTGTTGGGTAAGAGCTACCTACCCCTACTACTCGTACTAACTTGTCTATTGGAAAATCAAGATTAGGTTCTGGTTTACCTGTGGTGTTTTGACTTGGTTTATAGGATATTCCTACCTCCCCAACCCAACTGACAATAGACTCTCCCATTTTCGTAAATGCAATAAGCAATGTATATAGAATTGAATTATATTCATTTGTTATTAGTGTGATAAGAAATGTTTCTAGAATAGTCGGTGATACTCCACCATGTGAAGTCGGTGATATCAATCCGTCAATAATAGGCGGTGTTTTATTGCTGATAATGTAGGATTATAGGAACTGAAAAAAAAAATAAATAAAAATTATTGAATTGATTTAGAATTTAGCTAAGATAAA